CTTGAGAGTAGACCCCACCGCGGTTGCCTCTGTCCTCCAGAAGGACTTTAGTCTGACGGACCTGACCATCGCCCGATGGTTAATACGGATTCGGCTATACGATTACACGGTCGAAAGAGTATCTGGTACGAAAAATGCCGTGGCAGATGGACTTTCACGCATCCCTCTCGAGCGTCCGATAGTAGCTGGGGCTCTGACAATGGCAGAGCCGAGACGCGCCGAGAGATTTCTAGTTAATCTTTACGAGGGAAAGTACCGAATGATCGGACTACACCTGACGGGAGAAGAGAGTCAAGATTCAGATATCCGGAAGCAAGCAGCCCAGTACTGCCTTAGAGCGGGSCACCTTTTCCGAAGGCCAGTAGGGTCGGGAATGCCCTTACGAGTAGTCTGTGACCCTGAGGAGAGACAGACAATAGTTGCGGAGCTTCACGACGGGGTAGTCGGAGGACACAGGGGAGTCAAAGGAACCTACGAAAAGGTACGCAGGTTGTACTGGTGGGAAGGACAGTATAAGGACGTCGAGAGGTATTGTAGGACCTGCGAAGAGTGCCAGAAGAGAGCTCTTGTGAAATACAAAGAGCCACTTCATCCATCCTATCCAACCCGACCAGGAGAGAAGGTACACATCGATCTAGTGAAAATGCCGAGAGGGGTAGGCAATATGAACTACGTCGTGAACATACGAGACGATTTCACTGGGTTCGTGGACGGTAGACCTATCAGGAGTAAGGCGGCAAAKGAAGTWAARAACTTTGTCCTAGAGTACTTATCTAGGTATGGTTGTGTCAGCAAGATAGTGATGGACAGAGGTGCGGAATTCCTAGCCGACGAGGTCCAGAGCGTGTTTAGGAGAGTCGGTGCGAGAGTTTTGGTAGCCACCGCCTATCACCCACAGTCGAACTCCCCAGTAAAGAGGGGACACCAGACTCTGATAGCGTCACTGTCCAAGTGGTGCAAGGGTAAGGACAGTGATTGGCCACGATATTTTCGATACGCAATATGGGCGGACAACGTCACGGTCCGGGCTAGTACCGGATACCCCCCGTACACCTTGTGGTTTGGGCGACATTGTCCACTTCCCATAGAGTTTCACGTCGACAACTGGACAACCGTCGACTGGGCGGAGGAGATGTCCAGAGAGGAACTCTTAGCTGCCCGAACGAGGCAAATAGCCTATGGTTTGGAAGATGACCTCATGACAGCGGCAGATCGTCTGGTAGTAGAAAGGGACAAGGGTAAAGAGAAATGGGATAAGAACGTGCGAATTAGAAAAGAGAGGGTGAACGTAGGAGATATGGTCCTTCTCTACGATGCAGCGCTGGAAAGAACCTGGACCGGAAAACTCGCCAACAGATGGATGGGACCTTACAGRGTGGTTGAGGCACTCGACTGGGGTGCATATATGATAGCAGAATTGGATGGATCTAAGTGGAAGGACCCAGTGGCGGGCGCTAGGTTAAAGCTGTTTAGGCCCAAGCCCACGCCCGCTTTATCGCTAACCATCCCGAAAGGGAAAGGGAAAGCCATG